ATGGAGAAAGCTAGGGAAACAGTATAGTGAAATGCAGTACTACTATAACTAAACAGTGTAAAATAGCACATGATTTACTGTCACATAGGAACAAGATTTTGCTACAAATAAAATGAAAACTTACTGTTTTTCCATCACACATGGAAGCTACTCATCACTCCTGATGTTCAGGATGGGTGCTATTTAAAGCAACGTTGGAGCAAGTGTCTGATTCCTCTAACAAAAGGTATGTGGTCTCAAGATGACTTAACTGTACTTTCACAGCTGTACCTCTCCATGTTAAGTAATTCAATACTGAAGTGTAAGTTAAAACCAAACAAACAAAACCCACCTATTTTGCACTGAGACTGGAAAGCATTACTTGATGGGGACAACACCCCCATCAAGTTTTTCCAGCAGAAAAGGACTTGGGAGTGCTGGTCATCAGACAACTGAACATGAGCTCAGCAGTGTGCCCAGGTGGCCAATGGCATCCTGGCCTGTATCAGGAATAGTGTGGCCAGCAGGACTAGGGAAGTGATTCTTCCCCTGTACTTGGCACTGGTGAAGCCACACCTCAAGTCCTGTGTCCAGTTCTGGGCTCCTCAATCCATGAAGAACATTGAGGTGCTGGAGCAGCTCTCCAGAGAAGGGAATGGAGGCTGCCAAAGGGTCTGGAGCAAATCCTGTGAGAAGCAGCTGAGGAAGTTGGGGGTATTAGGCCTGGAGGAGGCTCAGGGGAGACCTCATCACTCTCTACAACCACTTGGATGGAGGCTGTAGCCAGGTGGGGTCAGCCTTTTCTCTCAGGCAACTGGAGACAAGACAGGAGGACGTAGTTAGGGAGGGAAGCGGCGGGTCCGCAGACTCCTTGATAGAGTACATGGTTCATGAAGACTTGAGACCGTACCCATGAGAACAGAGAAGTCATGTAGCAAGTTGTCGATGGATAAGTTTGGGAAAGTTAAAAATACACAAAGACAAGAGGGGTGCCTTTACAATGCTAACTATGTTCATGGTGCAGGATTTAGACTGCTAATAATTACTATGTTGCAAACTATTGAGCGCTCAGGAAAATTAAAGCTTTGTTAGACAAAAGTCTCCAATAAAGAGAGTGTTAGTATGCTTTATTTAATAAATATCCAATCAGCAAGAGACACAGCTGCTGTGCATTCTGTATTAATATCGCTGCCTGCTTTGGAAGAAAGGATTCTGTAAAATTCTGTTATGGCACCACTTTGGAGTTGATGTTCCTTTTCAGCCATTCCCCCAGTGACAAATGATGCCCTGTGTGAGAAGCAAAGACAACCAAACTGCAGGGTGAGGTGCAGCCGGGAACAGAGCTGGGTGAAGCTGAGAGCAGTGGGGAGCTGCGAAAGGATCTGGATCCGTATTTTGTGACACCTGGGGACAGCAGGTAAGCCACCGAGAACTACACGGGCACTATGGGGCAAACCACAAGTGCAGATGAAAAATGGGTGCTTGCTGCTTGGAATGCATTGTTCCATCGTCGTGGTATAAAATACAACTAAGGTCATTCATGTTGTTTGTTACATTGGTGTTGCCAGGAGGGGTGAGAGGCCAAGGTATCTGCTTTTAGTATTTCAGCCTGGGAGGACATTGATAAAACATTGTTGGATGCAATTGCACAAGGGGATTGTGAAGTGGAAGGGTTAGCATCCACCTGGAAATTGGTACTTTCCACTCTTGAGTGGCAGCAAGAATTGCAACAACAAAATCAAGGGAAAGCTGGAGGGGAGGACTTTGCAAAACTGCTGGCTGAATTACACATTGATGAACCCCCTGCTTCTCCTGCTTCTCCCCCTGTTGACGCTGCTGCCCTTGAAATGAATTTTTCTCCTGTGAAACCTTCTCCTCCTAGAACATATACTCTGCAGCTGTTCCTCCACCACCCATACATTATCCCTCCCCAGCAGAACAATTGGCTAAGATGAAGAGTAAAAACCAAAAGGACACTTTGCCTCCTCTTATTGATTTTTCTAAAGATAAAACTGATTTGTATCCTCCTTTACTTCATCCTCGGACTCTGATGGAGAGAGTTCCCTTAAGGAAGCAGAACTTTTGCTTCTAGGGGGCTGTGTTGTCAAAGGGAGAAGGATCAGGAGAAGGGGGGGGAGAGCAAAGGGTGTGGTTTTACCTCCTGCAAAAGTGACTGTTTTGCCTAGAAATCCTGGGTCATTTTGGGAAGGCTTTCAAGAAGAAGCTGCTCGTACTGGTAATTGGGAGTTTTGTGAGAAAACAGGGTATCCTTGTTCCTGAAAAAAGACTGAAAGTTCACAAGATGATTTCTTAGCCTTTCCTGTCCCTAACTCAGGGAAAGCTGATGAGTATAATGTATTTGCATGGAAAGTTATACAAGATCTACAGTTTAATGTTGGCAAACATGGCATCAGTTCATCTCAGGTTATGAGATTGATTCATGTCATTAATGCTGATTTGTTAGCCCCATATGACATTACACATCTGGCAGAGATAATGTTTGAAACAGTACAATTACAATTATTTATGCAACAATGGGCTCAAGTAGCAGATTGTGCAGAGCGTGAAAATATGCGCAGAGCTGATGAAGACCCTTTAAAGGATGTGGAGGCATAGGTTCTGATGGGAGCAGGGCCATTTTCTAATCCAGATCTTCAAGCTACATGGGACCCCCACTGTGCTCCAAGAAGCTCAAAAATTGGGTATGACAGCTTTGCTACATACCGTGGAAATACCAGCCCCACAATACGTTATACAGCCGTTAAGCAGGCTAATGGAGAACTGTTTTTGCAATTTGTTGAAAGGTTGGCTCAATTCTTAGAAAAGCAAGTAGATGATGACACCTTGTGGCAGAAACTTTGTTTGCAACTGGCACAAGATCAGGCTAACACTGATTGCAGAAAAATTATTGAATCCCTGCCAGGTCAGCCAACCTTAACTGGTATGGTGGAACCTTGTTCTCAGGTGGGATCAGTCGATCATAAGATGTCTGCTTTGTCAGCTATCTTGTGCCCAGCTCAAAAATGTCTCACCTGTGGTAAAAGAAGGGCACTTAAAGGTGCAGTGTCCTCAGAGAAAAGGGAAGTCCCCTAAGAACAATGCTGTGGTTTTTACAGGGACTTGTAATCGCTGTGGTAAACAGGGGGATTTGGAATGCAGTGTCGCTCCCGATACCATGTTGCAGGATACCCATTACCGGGAAACAGGAAGAAGAGCGCAATGGGGCGCGCAGGGACACAAATGCTCCTAGTAATAACTCAGGGTCCTCTAGTAATAACTCAAGGACTTGGTCAGGGTGCGATGGGAGCATCGATGTCATTCCCCTGTGTGAACGCCTCACAGGGAAGACCACAGGATCAGCAAGCATTGATGTATCCATCGCTGACACATTAATTATTATGTCAAAGGATGTGACTAAGGTTCCCTCAGATGCCCGGGGACCTATTCGACGAGGACTGAGTGCATTGTTAATTGGACGCTCTAGTAGTATAATTGCAGGACTTCTTGTTCATGTGGGAGTGATTGATGCAGACTATATGGGACAAATCTGTGCTACGGTTTCTATAGCTTATCACCCGGTGACAATACCTAAAGGAACCCAAATAGCTCAACTTGTACCTTTTGTGAGTTGTGATCCCCAAACAGAGCCTCATGAGCGCCAGAATGGAGGATTTGTTTCTATTGGTGCATCGCAAGTTTTCTGGTCACAACCGATTCCTGCACAATGTCCACAGATGACTTGCACCCTTCGCAACCAATGGAGCTCACCTCCAATCATCAAAGTGGCAGGACTGCTAGACACTGGAGTTGATGTAATTATCACTGCACAGACATTCTGGCCGGCCTCTTGGCCTTTGGCTATGGTGGGAGCCGGAGTTGTGGGATTGGGAGTTTTGTTTCACAAAATGCAGTACTTATTACTAATCCTGAGGGTCAAACCATCAAACCGTATGTAACTGTAGCCCCCTTAACCCTATGGGGTCGTGACTGTCTCTCTCAGTGGGGGGTGAAAATCACTACGGATTTTTAACAGGGGTCACTGTACTGCAGGGTGTGACACAACCCACCACTGCTTTAACATGGCTTACAGATTCTCCTGCGTGGCTTGACCTGTGGCCCCTCCTCGTGGAAAGGTTGTTGGCCCTTCAACAACTCGTTAGGGAACAGCTTGCTGCTGGTCACATTGAGCCTTCTCAGAGTCCTTGGAATACACCCACAAGATGGGTGCCTTTACAATGCTAACTGTGTTCATGGTGCAGGATGTAGATTGCTAATAATTACTGTGTTGCCAACTATTGAGCGCTCAGGAAAATTAACGCTTTGTTAGACAAAAGTCTCCAATAAAGAGAGCGTTAGTACGCTTTATGTAAGAAATATCCAATCAGCAAGTGACACAGTTGCTGTGAATTCTGTATTAATATCACTGCCTGCTTTGGAAGAAAGGATTCTGTAAAATTCTGTTATGGTACTACTTTGGAGCTGATGTTCCTTTTCGGCCGTCCCCCAGCGACACGTAGTCTTAAGCTGTGCCACAGGAAGTTTCAGGCATACATTAGGAAAAATTTCCTCAGGGAAAGAATGATTAGATACTGGAATAGGCTGCCCGGGGAGGTGGTGGAGTCACCGCCCCTGGAGGTGCTTAAGGCAAGACTGGACGTGGCACTCAGTGCCATGGTCAAGTTGACATGGTGGTGTTTGGTCATAGTTTGGACTGGATGATCCGAGATCATTTCCAATCTGTAAGGTGAACTACACAAATTCCGCCGGCACAGGCTCACGCCAGCGACTCTTCCCCGAGGACCATGACACGAATCCGCAAACGCCACGGACCCCTGTTATGCAAGGGCTTTCACGCCCCCACACAACCAAAGCTGCCCTCAGTGCGGGCAGGGCCGTCCCGGCGGGGCGCGGGCTGAGGGAGGGGAGGCAGCCGCGGGCCGGGCCCGCCGGCCCCGCTGTTCCGCCGCTCCCGCCCCGCCGGCGCGGCCCCGCTGCGCCTGCGCGTGAGCGCGGCCGCGGCCATGGCGGTGGCGGCGGTGCCCGCTCTGCGGCCCCGGCTGGCGGCGCTGGGCAGGCGGCTCAGGGCACCGCGGGGCGCGGCCGCGCACGGTGAGCGGCCCGGCGAGGGGGTGACGGGCTGAGGAGCAGGCAGAGGGCGGCCCTCAGGGCGGGGCGCAGGGTATCCCCGTGAACGGAGCGTGGGGGTCGGCTCGGGCATAGCGGAGCGTACCCGCGGATACCCTCAGTTTCATTGTGAAAGGTGCGGGCTAGCAGGACAGCCGGCATGCTGAAGTGCTGTGTTACCCAGCTGCTGTTGCAGGGTGGCGGGGGTGGATGAAGCCACATGAAAAAGGAAGGGGAGCGAGGCTCCTGCTCAGTGCCTTTCAGTGCTAAGGAAGCACTGTGTTCTTCCTTCAGATACCTTCCTGGCAAAAGGCTCGGCTGCTCTGGACAAGCTGAAGGACCTCTGTAACGAAGGGAAAGAGCCTCCTTCTGCGCTTTTTCAGCTCTATACTCAGGTATTAAAACATCAAGCTGACTTTCAAGAAAATCTGTGTAGGTTGTGAGAGAGGCTTTGGTGTAAAAAGGAGGATAGAGCAGAAAGGGATACCTTGTTACTTGGTGTGTATGGTAAACATCCGTGAAGCTCGTGGCTGCACCTGACTTGTATAATCTGGGAATCGATAATAATTGTATGGATACTTTAGGGACAGAAAGAGCTTTGACTTTACGTTCACTGTCAGCAATCCTCCAGTACTTCTAACTTGCACCTTTAGTAAACAAAATGTTAAAAAATACCTTCAAAATATATTGTGTTATAAACTAACAAGTTTTCTATGTTAGGAAATACCACTACTTGATTATTCTGCTGGTAGTACTTTTCCTTTGTATGTCTTCTTGTTTTCATAGGCTGTCCTAGACATAACATATTTTGAGGAAAACCAGCTTGTGGATGAAGATTTTCCAGAAGAAACTTCCTTGCAAAAACTTAAAGAACTTATTTGTATTCTTTCAGAACCAGAAGATCTAGTGAGGGAATGCAACATAGATGAAGAAGTGAGTACTGATGCTCTTGAGCCAGAGGATTATTTATTTCATTATTTTAAAATAAAAATCTGAAACAGGATCATAGTATTTATTTTTTTGATGGGCAGAACTTGAGGTATTTTTAAACATTTTCAAGTCTTACTTGTATTTAAATAGTCATTCCTGAAAATATTGTTTGAAATAACTTGTTGCATGCTCAGAATTTCTCTCGCTAACATTTCCTTACTGCATAGGATGTTAATGATAATTCAAGTTGACAGTTTTCAGTATTAGGTTAGTGTCTCTGAGTGTTGTTGTCAAGTACAGCCTTTAAAGTAAGAGACTTGAAGCACTTCTTGCATGTGTGACTGTGTTTATGACTAGTTCAGGTGGGTTATTTTTGTGTTAGCCCAGTTTGTTGGATTTTATTTCAGCCTGTTAACATCCTTGGTGCAGAATTGTTAGAATGTCTTTACTGGAGGAAAGGAGCCCTGCTTTACATGTACTGTCACACTGCAAAAGAAAGGAGAGAATGGCTACAAGGAAACATTGGCACATTTAAAAAGGTAAAGGAAATGAAAATGTTCTGTGAGCTTGTGAATACAGCTTTAAAGTTTGACTCTTCACTCTTAAGATATGGCTGCTTTTTTAATCTTTTTTTTCTTTTTTTCCCCTTTATTTTTTTTTTAGTAGGATTTTGAGAAATTCATAGAATTATTTATGGCTATCATTAATTTAACCAGAACTTATTTTTTCCTCCTTTTTAACTGTACTCAGTTTCTTAATGATGGAGTTCATTACTTGATGAAGATGCTTAGCTTTAGATGCCCTCTTCAGCTAAATGAAGATGTCTTACTTCAAGATAAGGACACAGCTAGATTACTCAGCGAAGGTAAACAAACACAAAAAAAACCCCTGAAAAAAACCCACAACCCCCTCCTCTTAATAACTGCTTCACTTTATGAAGTGTTTTTTTGCGTGTTTTCATTCTTTGCATTCATATTCAAAACCTGTCACTTTTTAGAACAAGAAGGTAATAATGAAGCAAATAAGCAGGCAGCAGTGCTCACCCACTTCTTTTTTGACTTGTGCATTTTAGGAGGTGGTAGTGTTTGTTTTCCTGTGTTTTTGAGCGCACTGGATAAAGGTGAACTGAGACAGTGGGTGTTTTATGCTGAGCATGTGTGTTTTACAGCCATCCAGTTGACAACTGACAAATGTTTAAGGCACAGATATGGCTGCAGAGGGTGCTAGATGTTTGCATATTGGTCTGGCTGTTCAGCTCTAGAATAACACAGGTACAAAGAATTAAGGTCTTCACTCACATAAAAGCTACATGCAAAACTGCTCCGATTTGGCAAATTCTCTCTGTCACTACTTTATGTAGTTTTATGTAAGTTGCATTACTGTAGAGCAATCTGTAGAACTATTTTCTTTTAGTCTTGAATTGTGGGAGGCACAGAAATATTCTAACATAAATAGGTATAGTCATGCCTGTGCTTACTATTGAAATTGTCAAAGGAAATAGGCCAACGTGATTATCAGAATTGTATGGCAATCTTAGAGATTTTAGCATCATGGAGGGTCAAAATGGACAGAGTAAGCAGCACAGTCTTGATCCGCGTTCTCTTCTGGGCATTGTCAGTCTTCTCAGGGTTAAGATTTGGGTTTTTTTGGTGTACCTGTTTAAAAGGCTGAGACTGTAATTTTGGACATTTTTTCCAGGAAACTTAAAAAAAGAAAAAAAGTTAACAAGCTGTGTACTTGCTTAGAACAATAAAGTACTTGGTATAAATTATTTTTGCAGGTGTATTTAGTGACACTCACTTACTGGCAATGATGTACTGTGGAGAAATGTGCTACTGGGGACTGAAACACTGGGGAGAAGGGAAGCAGGAAAGCCCTGAGTCAATAGATCCCGTGTCTGACAGCAGCCTGGGCAGCGGAACACAGAGCATGTGGCTGGACTTCCAAGAAACAGGGAAAAACATGTTAACTAAGTATGTGGCCGTGTGTGAGGGTCCTTTAAGAGGCCAAGGGTGGAACACAACGACGGCGAAACAAATGCTGCGCGACTTCGTGAAAACCCACGGCTGAGACCCGCCGCCGGCAGAAAACACCGTGTCCTCAGAGCACAACTAAGGAGCTTTGCCTCTGCTTCAGCGCCCGATTTTATTTTTTTATTTTTTTAAACCGAAATGTGTACTCCTGCTGCATTAAAAAAAAAAAAAAAAAACCACAACACGCAAACACACACTCTCTCTCAAAGAACTCCTGGAACACCAAGGTCCAAAGTTTAATAATCAAGTATTTCGGGTAGGTGGGTGGGAACCCCAATTAAAAAAAAAAAAAAAAACCGCAGGCAAAACGAACTGCCCTCGGGCGAGGATGGCGGGCGTCTCCCCTCAGCCCGTGCCAAAGTCCGCGGCGCCGGCGCGCTGGCTGTGAGGGGCGGTGGCGGCGCCATGGCCGCCGAGGGAGGAGAGGAGCGGGGAGGAGGCTTGGAAGCGGCCGTGAGGGGTGGGCTGCGCGTCCTCCGGGAGCGCTGGATGCGGGGGAGCCGCGAACGCGGCGGTACCGCCGCGTTCGCGGCCCCCCCGCATCCAGCGCTCCCGGGAGACGCCGAGGAGGCGAGCGCCCTGCAGAGGCTGCCGGTGAGTGTGGGGGCCCGCTTGGACATTCCCGCCTTCTCCCGGCTCCGCTCCCGAGTCGTTTAATCCGCCGCTGTCCTCCCCCCACTCCCCGGTTTTCAGATCGACGTGCAGCTGAACATCATGTCCTTCCTGTCGCCCCAAGATCTGTGCCGCTTGGGAAGCACGAGTAGTTACTGGAGGGCGGTGGTGCGGGACCCGCTGCTGTGGAGGTATTTTCTCCTGCGGGATCTCCCGCTCTGGACGTGGGTTGATTGGAAGTCGCTCCCGGAGGTGGAGGTTTTTGATAAAGCCTTTTCGGACGCCAGCGATAAGGCACTGTATGATTACATGGCAGTGTAAGTATCTTCATGTTCTCTTAACGTGAGTTTAAGTCTCTCTTCAGCTGTAAAATACTCAGCCCACTGGCATGTTTCATATATACAGCAATAAAGCTCTGCTTTAACCTGCTGTTTAAATGTTGTCATATACACAGCAATAAAGCTCTGCTGTAACCTGCTGCTTAAATTTTGATCTTTTATCAAATCCATTGTCTTAGTTTGGAAATACAGTTTCCTGTTGTTCAATGGTCTAGTCAGCTCTTTCTGTTTTGTGGCTCAACAGGAATGTAAGACACTGTAAAAAACAAAGAGCTAATTACAAAAATTAAAGCTGTTTGTAAACTGTGTGTCTGCTGTGCCACAGAAATACGGTCATCTCAAAAGCCCTGCGACTGTTGATAAAGAAGTGTTCTTTGCTCTCAGTACAATGGCAAGTGATTTCTCCTTTAATAAAAGTACTAAGAAGTTTTCAAACTACTACAAGTGGAATGAATCTTTATTTTTTTCATCTTACATGGAAGACCTAATAATAAAAAAAACCTTTTTGAATGTGCACAGAAAACTGGTTTCAGATAGCATAGCTGAAAAACATAGCAACACTCACAATGTGTTTAGATGACTGACAAGAACTCCTAAAACAATCAGATTATGTTGTGGCAATTTTTTTTTAACGTCATTCAATTCCCGTGATTGATTTGTAGTAGTACTTTGTGGGTTTGTTTGGGTTTTTTATTTATTTGCAGTTAAATTTTCCAAAGGTGATTCTTAACATGTTTTTTCATGTTAAGTGCACTAACTTCAGCCCCACTTTACAGGCAAGAACAATGCACCCAGAATTTGAAGTGCAAAATACATCCTGATTTTAAAACTGGAGTTAATTCTCTTCAGGTCTGAATACTTCAGAGCACTGCCTATTTGAAACCACCTGCGACTGATTTCCATTGTGTCTGTGTGCACTTAGTGGTTCTGCTGATCTCAAGTGAAGTATCTCAGAGTAGATGTAGAAGAGCACGTTTGATGTTTTTATGCAAGAACTCCAGACTGATCCTTTATATGATAATGTCACATGGTGTAAATTTCATTTAGAAGTGATTTGTCCAGCAGCAGCCTACCATGACTGCAAAAGCAGACTGAAGCTGCTTCTCTTAGGATATCTATCTGTTACTCTTTCCCTTGGTTACCAAAGTCTTTTCATGCCTGCTAGCTTCTGCACCAAGTGAGCACATAAGCTTGCAGACAACACTCATCATTCACAGCATGCATGCTCTGTACCTACAGGGGATATGGTCCATTTCAGGTGGTTACCTGTTTCAAACACAGAAGCAGTCTATTTAAGGTTTGAAATGCACTCACCAGTCTCATTTTCTTAATTTTATTTTTTTATGTGACTCATCTGCTTTGATGTTATTTTTTTTATATTTTGTTTTCAGTGAGGGTGGGGAAATGTGTTATTTTATTTTATTTTAAACAAACTGAATGATCTATAGATAGCAGCATACCAAGGTCTAAAAAGTCAGTATTTGGACTTCAAAAGAACTGATGCATTTACTTGCTTTGTACTGGTGTTTGAAATCATCAATTTGGAACTCAATAATTTTTGATCTCTTCCTTTTGAGTTGACCCAGAAGCGAAGCATGAGAAGTGTGGGACCTAAGTCAATTTATGTTGTTTGATTAATACCTCTTGTGCATTTTGTCTTTAATTTCTAGTTGTGTCTATTTTACACAGATACAAAAAGAGCTGTCCTCAGAGTAGAAGAAGTTTGCGATCAAGCCGACCACGGTACGGGGCTGTGACTTCCTTTCTGCAGTCACTGGTCACTCAGGTAGAACCTCGCTTTGCCATGTTTGGGCCGGGTTTGGAAGAGCTGGACAACTCCTTAGTGCAAAAGATGATGACGTGCCCAGAAATTCTGCTAGTAGCTGGCCTACCTCACAGACAGATTCATGGTAATGATGGTTCTGGCTTTTGGCTTTTATACTTTGTGTGCAAATATAACACAAAAAAATGTGGGTGGAGAAATAGAGAAAAAGAATGGGTTTTTTTGTCCCCTTAGAAGTCAGCAACATCATGGAAAAAACCAAACCATTTTCTTTCTTTGTATTTGTTCAGAAGGATAAATGCAGTGAACATTTGGGACAAACTAACAGCTGCAGTAAATTTATGACTAAATTTGCAACAATGTCAGAAGGATCATTTTGCTCCTTGTACTTATTTCATCCAAAATTCCATGTTACAGCTCTTGTTGTAATGGATAAATGCAGGCAGAACTTTGTTTAGGTACTACTGCTTACAGTGGGGGGTTAAACACATTTGTGTTTTTATACAAGAACTCAAGACTGATCCTTTATATGATTATGTCAAATGGTGTAAATTTCATTTAGAAGAGTTAACAAGAGCAGGTGAAGGATTTTTTTTTTATATGTAAAAGAATAGCTTTGAACATCTGTAATTTCACTTCAGTCCAAACTAGAGACAAAAATGTATTAATTTTTGACTAATGTTTATTTCAGCACATCAGAATTAGAATAATTATACTGTATTTACAGGATGTGTGAAAATGAGTTGTTTTTTTTTTAAATTTCTCTCGTTTTCAATGCAGATTGTCTTTAACAGACTAGAGCCTTTGCTATGGCAATTTCAGCTAAACACAAGTCTGCCTCCTTTCTGATTTGAGTTTCTAGGTTCAAGTCTAATTATGAGAAATGGAAATGCCTCTTTTTTTATTTAAATATAATTGAATTGATTTTCATTAAATTAATAGTCTGACCAATTAGGGCATGTATAAAATTTATTGTAAGATAGTAAATCTGCTACCCCTAGCAGCAATATCTAGACTTGAATATATCCACTTTATAGCACCACTGGAATTTTCAGACTACTACTTAATTCTGTTCAGTAGCCAAGTAGTGGTAATCTCATATATTCATTTTTTCCCTCTAGGAATTGGATCTGGAGTCAGTTTTCAGTTTAATAACAGTCAAAAATTCAATATTCTGACATTGTACTCCACCACCAGGTAAGATAAGATTTGGTCTTCACCAAATAAAATGTACAGTTTCTCATTCATTTCATACCTTCCTCATATTTTGGTCATGTGACTTCTATCTGTGCATTCACATGTATGGAAGTTCCTTATAAATTGAAGCTTCAATGTCTTTGCTTTTCCCTTCTTTCTTCAACTGCTGAGTTTTCACATGGAAGTGATAAACCTTTTCCAAGCCTCTTGCATAACCACATGTGTGTGACAGGTACAGTACCGGTAATTCTATCCCTCTTGAAACCTTGTTTGATTCCCTTTTGAAACACTATATAAACTCACTCTGGGATGTATTTTCATGTGCAGATTGCTAGCCATCTTCTCTATATGAACACTAGGAAAGAAGGCGGGGCGGAAGGGGGCAAAATTGTTTTGCTGGTTCATACCATTTTCCTGTCCCTTTCCTCTGCCACTTAGACTCTCAGGATTGAGAGTTTGCTTTTTCAGGTAACCTGACTACTGAAATATTGAAATGTCTTCCAGTGTGGAAAGGAGGAGAGCAAGGACAGAGCAAGCTGTTGCTGTGAATAAGATGTTTTACCAGGACAACAGCACAGAAGGGAATCAGCAAGCCGTGCACTACAGTGTAATAGATCAAGTGAAGAAGGTGTGCGAAGTAGTTGATGGATTCATTTATGTTGCTAATGCAGAAGCTCATAAAAGTAAGGGCTTTATCTTTATTTATTTATAATTTGAGAATAATTGGATTGTTATAAAAATTACAAAGAATATACAAAATATCATAATCCACGTTCTCATCCTTTCAAAATCTGCTTTATTAGTGCTATTTCTTCATGTCTCCTGTCTTAGACACTTTCTCATCAACCTTTGATGGGTTATGGCTTTGTCTTTTGTTTGTGGCATATACTGATACAGTTGCTATCTAAATTGGAATCATCTGGATTAAAAAAGAACACAAACAAAAACCTTGGCCATGTGTAGGAGAAGCCTGAAATACATTGTTTGCGGTGTAATAGTCTGGAACCAGAACCTTCACCAGGAAAATTCAGTACACAATGCAATTAGTCTAAATCAGGATAGTCCTGTAAGAGGATAATCCAAATAACTAATATTGTAATGGTCTGTACATTCATC